GCACAGTAAACTTTATAAATAGTAATTACTATTACTACTACTGTTTGTAATAATAGTGTTAGAAGTTGTTCTTGCTGTTCCCTTCAAAAAGAATGTAGAAACCTCCTTGAATTTATAGAGCACTGAGTAGAGATCATAGAAAAACTCTATCATAGAACTTAATATCATTAACATTACGGAATAGTCTATTCAACAAGTGCAGAATACACATTCTTTAGAAATACTCTTAGAACGTTCACCAATACAGACTATATGTGGAGCCATACAATACCAGTTGCCATCAAAGTGATTCCACCTCAGGAAGAATCTCATGTGCACCAGAGTGTAACTGTGCTCCACAGGGTTTTCAATGGCTGGTTTTTTTGGAAGTAGACCACCAGGCCTTTATTTAAAGGCACCTCTGGGGGAACACGAACCTCCAACTATTCAGTTAGCAGCCAAGTATGTTAACTATTTATATCACCCAGGGACTCCTAGTCATAAAATAAATCTCAACAATTTAAACATACAGAATATGTTCTCTGATCAAAACAAAATTAGAAATCAACAGCAGAAATATTACCTGGAAAATCCACAAATATTTGGAAATTAAACAATACACTTCTAAACAACCCATAGGATATAGAAGAAATCACAAGGGAAATCAGAAAATACTAAATCAAATGAAATGAAAACCAAGTGTTGGCAAGAATTTGGAGAATTGGAAATTGCATGCATTGTTGGGGGAAATGTTAAATGGTGAAGTACTTTGTAAAAGAAGCTGACAGCTCCTTATGAAGTATAAACTTACCATATGACACAGCAATGCCACTCTTAGGTATCTACCCTATAGAAATGAATTGTGATATATCCAGGCAATGGAATACTACTCAGCAATAAAAAGGAGTCAACTACTGATACCCACAACATAGATAAATCTCAAAAATATTATTTTATATAAAAGAAGCTTTACACAAAATAAGGCATAGTGCATGATTCCACGTATATGAAATTCTGGAAAAGATAAATGTAACCTATCATGCCAGAAAGCAGATCAGTGGTTGCCTAGGGGCAAGGATAAGGAGATAGGCTGGGATAAGCACATTTTTCAGTGATGGAATATTTTTTTTTAATTATGATTTGGGTGAAAGCTTACAGAGCAAATTCACTTTCCATACAGCATTTCACATATACTTTGTCTCATGACACTGACTACAATTTACCACAATCCAACAGCTCTCCTCCCCTTTCCCCCGGTAGTTACCTCTTCCCTGTTCAGTGATGGAAATGTTTTATATATTTCTTTTGGTGGTGGTTATTCAGATGTATAAATTTGTCTAAACTCAACAAAATGGAGAGTTAAAAGGGTGTATTTTATTGTGTGCAAACTATACTTCAATCAAGTTGATTTAGAAAAGGAAAAAAAAAAGTCTTTAACGTGCACTACAAAATCTTGCATGATCAGTGACCTAGCCTCCACTCAGCTTATTATCAACTTCTGTTCTCCCCTTTTCTGTTCTCCCCAGTCATTCTAGTTCTTTAAGCACTTGCACGTGCTGCTCCTTACTTTTGTCGCATTAATTTCTACTTCTCTGTCAGACTTCAGGTCAAATGATTTTCTCTGGGACAATTTCCCAGACTCCCTAGATTCAATCCCCTTATTATATGCTTTCCTTATTCCTTTTGGGTAGAAAATGAATGAAGTGAAAATGGCATTTGGCCTTGACTAGACATTAGACAGGAATAAGGCAGAACTTCAGACATCCCAATACTCCACAGATAAAGTCCTGCTATACTTGAAAGAAGGAATGCTGCCAAGAAAACATAATTCTGGAATAGGGAGTCCCCATGTAGTTTGATGTTGTCCTCAAGAGTCTAATCTAATCCTGTATGGGCACAGGACCAGATCTGGAATGATTCAGTAAATCCAATACACTCAAAATAAAAGAAATAATTCTAGATGTCTAAGTTCAAATTACTCAAACCTGAACTAACCTATTTTCCTTTCTGCCAATGTTTAGTCTAAACCAATATCAACAGTCACAAACCAACCTAATCTCTGGGATTATGGGTAGAGTCTGGTTTAAGTAAGGAACTGAAGTCTCAGCTCTTACAGTATTATCCATATGAATTTCAGCAATTCATTTACCATCTGTAGATTTCAATTTTTTCATTTTTATTATTTCTAATCAGGGGAGGTATATCTTCATAAAGGGACCAGATAACAATCCATTTTCTAGTTTTCCACACTTTTCTTTCTTAAAAAATTTGTGCTGTTGTTGTTGAGAATATACACAGCAAACCATACACCAACTCAACAGCTTCTACATGTATAATTCAGTGGCACTGATTACATTCTTCAAGTTGTGCAAAAGTAGAATTCTCATTCTACTTTTCTGAGTCGTTTCTCCCCAGTGACATAAACTCACTGCTCCCTACATTTCCTATTTAAGTTGTTGTTGTCATTTTGATCCCATAGAGATAGAAATGCAACCAGAATGCTCCTTGGAAGCAAGAACAGCCAGATTTGGTCTCTCATACTTTGGTTATATTAGAAGGGCACCAGTCCTTGCAAAAGGATATCATTCTTGCTAAAGTAGAGGGTCAGTGAAAAAGGGAAAGACCCTCAACAAGATGGAGTGACATAGTAGCTACAACAATGGGCTTAAGCATAGCAACCACTGTGAGGATGGCACAGGCCCAGGCAATGTTTCATTCTGTTGCACATAGGGTCACTATGAGTTGGAATCAACTTGACAGCAACTAACAGCACAACAGACAGATCTTAAAAGGGCACAATGTTCAAGGATGACATTCCTTACTAGTTAGGCTAAACTACTGTTTGGTTTTACAAAGACTTTAGGGAATATTTTTGGTTTAAGGTTTAAAGATTATTTCAGGGCAATAGTTTGAGGGGTTCTTTCAGCCTCTGTGACTCCAGAAAGTCTGCAATCTGTAAGAAATTGAAGCTCTGTTCTACATTTCCCCCTTTTGATCAGGATTCTTCTATAGAACATTTGATCTAAATGTTCAGTAATGGTAGCTGGACATTATCCAGTTCTGATTTCATGGCAAACAAGGCATATTGTTCATGGAGACAATTAATTACATATTCCATCTCTTCTTCCTATTCCTAATTCTACTTCTCCTCTATTGATCCCGGAAAATAGAGACCAATTGTCAGGCCTTGGATGGCCACTTGGCAAAGCACACTTTTCCTTGAATATAGATTACAGCACTAAAGTTAAAAACTATCTTTTTCATATTAAGATCCATTTATATCAGCTTCACATTTAGTACAGCTGAATATTACATGGGAATTTAGTCTTTTCAATTCACAAGTAATGTTCTCATTTAATGTTTAATTACTAAGAAAACTCTAATGGTACTAACCACTCACAGTCTTTCAATATTAGCAGTTTTAAACATGAAAATATTTAGTAAAAAAACCACTCTCTGTAATAACTAAAAGTAGGAAGCCAGATAAACACAAATACTAGAATTTAAAGAAAGCTAATTGTCTCTCACATTTCCAGCAAGTACAATTGACATTATAATAATTAATTAATTATTATTAGAAAAACGACACTTCCTATACAGCTACTTTACTCACTGTTACACAAACTGGAATATTTCTTTGGCTTAAAGTGACAACAGAAACTTTGATAGCCATAACAAGTAAGCTACCAAAAACAGCATGAAAGAAAATCTCACAGAAAAATATTAAAAGATTCTCAGGAGCATTTGAATATTGCTCATCTAATTTTCATTAGAAAATACCATAAAAGATAAAGAAAGAAAACCGTCCACCCAGTAATAAAAGCTGAGCCAAACCACAGCTGTAATAATTTTTTGAAAGCTGAAAATCATGATAATTTCAAAGTATCTAGTATATGAAACTTAATAGAACCATGATAAGGTTTTGGTTTTGTTTGTTTTTGAATAGGTAAGTGGCTTCTCTATTTGTTTACTGTACAGGCAGTTCCCAGGTTATGAACATCAGACTTACAGACAATTTGTACTTGCCCTTTAATGTTACACAAGTTTGCCCTCACTTTGAAACCACTGAGCCAATTCCTACTGGCAACAAATTCTTCATCAAAATCACCTTCACTTGCTACATGTGCAGATTTTAAATCATTGAAAAGTCTTGGAGCCTTTTCTTGCACTAAAGTAAGGGTAAGTAAGAACCATATGCACCTGTTCTGACTTACTTACAAACTCAACTTAAAGACACACTTAGGAACAGAGCTTGTTTGTAATTTGGGGACTGTTTGCACTGCTGCTTTCACCCTGCAAATTACAGTATATGAAGCAAAAAGCATCTTTCAACTTGGAAGAGTAGAAGCACTGACAAAAACAGCACATAAAGGTCTTCCATTTATTCCAGTAGAACATTTTACTCTGATTTCACAAAACTAACACTAGCTTTTTTTTTCATTAAAATCCAAGTTATTTTTTACTGTTATCTTTCTCCTCCACCATAAAACAAAAAACACATTTTACTTACACTAACTTAAAGATGTCACAGACACTCTAGTTTTGTTCATTTAATATTAAATAATTTTATCTTTACAGACAATGACAAACAATATATTCATATATATTAATGTTAATTATCTAATAATACAAATAAAAACAAGAATAGCAATTAGCCAGGTATTGGTGGGAATTTTTTTCATTATAATTTTATAAGCATATGATACCCCTATGCCCTGTCTTTCTGTTGTATATAAAAAGCACAAAAGTCCTTTCACATAAAGAATCAATATTTCTATTAAGCATGTACTATTTTATAGGTATGCATTGCAGGTTTCTCAAAAGAAAAGTACAGAGTTACTACATTTGTTTTATTTTTAACATATCATTTAGATGTACCTTTTTAAAATACTGGTTGAATATGAATATCACTCAAGTATTTGAGGAATTTTACTGATTTTTATTTTTTTACTTAAGGAATTATCTTGGTATTGAATAATGGAAATATATATTACTACAAGAAGAGAGAAAAAAAATCCCACCTGTTTCAACCTCATGAAGAACGTTTCTGTGAAAGACTTTCTGCTGAAATACCAAAATCGTTCATTTGCAGGGTACACACGAACTACTGTCTCCAGGAGAAAGCGGACAGGCTCCACCACCTCTGTGACCACCATATCCACAGCCACAGTCATGTATACTCGTTTATCTATAGCAGAAATTTTAATTGCAGATTATAAGAATAAACAGCTGTGAGAGACAAATGCAGCTTCTAGTCAAAGATTTATCATGATACCTAACGTCAGAAAAAAAGATTTATCTCAATTCAACTCAACAAATGAGTACAAAAATGCCTACTAGGAAGGAAGGCTGGGCAATCTACTTCCGTAGTGATACTGCCTCGGCAACCCAAGGAGGGGTCGTTATGTGTCGGGGCCAACTCTATGGCACATAACAATAACGACAACAACAGGTAATATGAAACAACAAAATATTTTGTTGAGGGTCAGGGACCACATCACACTTTTCTTTGCATCTATCCCTGTATTTTAATATATATTTGATGAATAATTGAAGGAATCAATAAACTCCACTTAGAACTCTAAGGAAATATATAAAAGTAAAAAATCACACTATGTACTGTCATGGCATTTTTAATTTCAGTAAGAAGATGGCAAACACACATAAAATAGGTGTTTATTAATATCCATTGCTTATGCTGTAAATTCCAAACTCCTTAAGGCTCTTCATAACCTAGCCTCTGATTATCTCTCCAATCTCATCTCTACACACATTCTATAATTGCCATACCATTTATTGCAGTTCATCTAAAGTACTTGCTCCCTCTTGTCTCTGAGACTTCACATTTACTCTTCCCACTGCAGTACATTCCCCTTCTCCTTTTGCCTGGGAACTACCCACTATTCTTCAGGTCTGTTTATTTATCAATTTTTTTTCCCTGTAAACCTTACCTAATCTAAATAAAGGAGGTCCCTGAGTGGTGCAAATGGTTTATGCTTGGCTACTAACCAAAAGATTAGCAGTTCAAGTTCATCCAGAGGCACCTCAGAAAAAAGGCCTGGCAATCACTTTCAAAAAATCAGCCATTGAAAATCCTATGGAATGCAGTTGTACTCTTCCACAAACAGGGTTGCCATGAGTTGGAATAGACTCAATGCCAATGGGGGTATTTGGTTTAATCTACATTAGATCCTCCCTTCTCCTCTGTCCTGCTATTCTTTGCTACCCATAAATCTCACCCATCACATCGTGTATTCTATAAATAAGGATTCTCATCCTCACCCTTATGCCCTCAATACCTAGCACAGTACAATCAGCCAACATTTCAGTTATTAATTAAAACATCTACCTGGTTCATAGCCTTACTTTAAATTTACAATCTTCTAGATCAGAGTCAAAGTCCCAGGATAGCACAAGCAGTCTGCAATCAGCTCCTAACTGAAAGGCTGGTGGTTCAAACCCACCCAGTGGCTCTGTGTAAGAAAAGCCAGGCAAACTGCTTCCATAAAGATTACAGTCTAGGAAACGTTATGAAGCAGTCCTATTCTCTAATACATGTGGTCGCTATGCTTAGTCAAGGGCCAACTCAATGGCAGCTAACAATAACAGTGTCTACTGCTTTTCTTCAGCTTCATTATGATGGATTAAAGTATGGATTTATATTTTATTACCTTGCTTGAGATTCATTGAGTTTCTGAATCTATGGTTTAGTTATTCCATACCATCTTTTTTTTTTTTTTTACAGCCCTGAAAATGGTCTTTGGTTTAGAAATGGAGAGTTAAGTGGGTAGAAGACAGCAACTTAGCCACCGAAGCCATAGAGAGTACACCTCTGATGCTTCGGTGCATAAACCACATCCATGACCGTGACAGTCTTACCCTTGGCATGCTCGGGGTAGGTAATGCGTCCCTGATTACACAGCAAGACCTTGAGCACACCAGGAATTTACTCATATATATGACCAGAAATGCCTTTGAGGCCACCATGCCAAGCTAGATGCCAAATAGCAGGCTTGGCGATCCCCTGAAAGTTGTCACACAACACCTTGTGTGGCACTCAGCATCTCCTTTTCTGAGCCCCTTCCTGCCCCTGCCATGTCCAGACATAGCTGCAGTATAACCAACAGAGCCAGCCACCCTTATGATTTACTATTGCTTTTAAAAATATATATTTATTTCACCCACCATTTTTAATCCTCAAGAGAAAGTTCAAATAGCCAAGACCACCATTAGAAGAAACCCTCAATAGCCTTTTTCAAAATTTTATGCATCCCTCTATTTTCATATACTATACTTTACAAATCAAACCAAACTCACTGCCATGGAGTCGGTCCCAACTCATAGCGACCCTTCCCTTGGGTTTCCAAGGTGTTATCTCTATGGAAGTAGATTGCCCAGTCTTCCTTCTGAGGAGTAGGTTTGAACCATCAGCCTAAAAGACCTTAAAGTCTAAGGGGAATAATGGTGAGAATGAAGAGACTATAACATAAGATATAGGATATAATACACAATTGGATAAGACATGTTTAGTGCAATAGAAAGATATAAAATATTTTACCTCTAAGGGCCTCAACTTCTATAAAAATCAAACTTCATTTGATTCATGAGTCCTCCAAATAATTTATAATTTCAAAGACACCACTTAGTAGTTTTAGAAACCAGGTCCATATTTTTGTGTGGCGTAAGAAATGATTTAAATATATTTTGGAGAATTATATTATCATAACACAGTATTAGATACAGTTTAATAGAACAAATATATTTGAAAACATATGACCTTTTATTTGAGATCCAAATGTATATTAAAATGTAAGATGAAATTGAACTATGTGTCATGTAAAAACAGATAAAAAGTGCTTTTATAACTTATGTCTTAAAATTCTCATGTTTTACTCTTCAAAATTATCAACTAGTTTGTTTTTCTCATTTTTTGTTTTCTTTCTAAATGATTATTTTAAAAAAAAAGGTTACAGGCTACTATTTGAAAGCTTATCTCCAGTAATAGTAAACTGTGTGTATAAAACTATTTTTTCCTACTATATGAAAAGCTAACTATTATATAATCATCACTTTTTTTTTCTTTCAGCCCTTCTTTTGCAACAGACAGCTTGATGCATAATTAAATGCATGCAAGTTCTGGAACTAGGTGAATACTATCTTTAAAGAAATTTGAGAATAATTATCATTTTAATGCACTTCATTAATACATATTTCCATATCAATATTGACTAATGCTTCCTATCTTTAATCAAATGTGTACTGTAGGTATAGCCTAAATAATTTAAGATTAAAAATAAAACAAACTGGTCCATTATTTTTTTACTATGAATTACTTGCTGCATGATAGCAAAGCATTCAGTGTGAGACTTTAATTCATCAAGTAAAAGTTAACATTTTAGTTTAAAGGCAGATGGTAGAGGAGCACAAAATGTAGGTGATTCATATCTGGATAAAAAGAATAAAAAAAAAAAAGAGGAGAGAATAAAAAATGTGACTGTTTAACATTTATAAAGCCTACTCAACATAAACAAAATGAGAAGGTGAACAATTAGGAAAAAAAATGTTTGCCACAAATGAAATCTTTAATATATATAAATTCACAAGAAAAACATTACTAAAATCCCAAAGGTCAAAAAATGAAACTAATAATTAATAAATGAAAAAATATAAGGAGTCTGTAACATAAGAAAAAGGTTAAAGACACAAAAAATTCCAAAATTTGTTTGTTTGCATCAATCTCTGTCATATTCTTCTATTTCACCACTACCACCAATTGCTTTCATTCCTGTACATAATGACCCCATATGTGTCAAAGTAGAACTGTGCCCCATAGAGTTTTTCAGTAACAGTTTTTAGAAATAATAACTCAATAAGCAGTTTTTAGAAACAGATTGTCAGCTTTTCTTCTGAGATGCTTCTGGGTAGGCACAACCTCCAACCTTTTGATTAGCAGTGAAGATGCTCATCGTTTGCACCACCCAGGAACTCTAACACCTACCCCCAATCCCCTCAAACAAAACAACTCTAGAGTGATGTATGAAACACAAAGCCCAACTGCTTCCTATACAATCTAATGAAACTAATTCACATTATCTTTTGAAGGGATTCTTTTGCATAGTGCTTTTTTTTCCCTCCTATAAAAGCATAAACTGAGTAGTGTTTTGTTCTGTTGTACATAACAAAGCAGGTGCTAACTTGACAGCACCTACCAACAACAGAAAAGCATAAAGTATGAAAGGACACCTTGAATTCTAAATAAGAATATCTCCATTTGAGTATCAGAATTTAAGAAAAAAATATATTACAAAACAACAACAACATTGTTATAATTAAAAATTTTAAGCAAATAATAGTCTTTCAAGAAAATTCACCTTTTGGTGTCTCTTCATTAAGTGCCAGAAATATTGGTGCATTCGGGTTCCACATGCCAGTGATAACATAAGCTCTCCCGTCATTGCTTTTTCCCATGGATTCCTACAAAAGTTCAAACAGGAATTGCTCAGTCTTGATTTTGACGGGGAAAACCCATTTTCACGTTGGTTTCAATACAAAG